TCCCCACTAGCTCAGGAGCCAGGCAGAAGGAGAAATCCCACACAAGACAGGCTCTAGAGCAATGTGGATATCCTAACTGGGCCTTCCTGAAAGCAGAGAAGAAACCCAAACAGGACTCCAGTCAGCCAACAGGTGAAAAGGAGGAACCCAGACCCAGACCAGTGGTCATTCCATATGTTGAGGGAGTATCAGAGAAACTGAGACGTTTATTTTCTAAACATAACGTCCCAGTGGCTTTTAAACCCCAAAATACATTACGGCAAAGACTGGTTCATCCCAAAGATCCAGTCCCCCGGCACAAACAGAGTAATGTTGTGTATGCTGTTCAGTGTCAGGAGGGCTGTGATCAGTCTTACATCGGGGAAACTAAACAGCCACTGGCCAAAAGGATGGCCCAGCACAGAAGATCAACATCATCAGGCCAGGACTCTGCGGTCTACACTCATCTCCAGGCCAGCGGTCACTCTTTCAGGGATGAAGATGTTCACATCCTGGACAGAGAGGAACGATGGTTTGAGAGAGGAGTAAAGGATGCCATCTTTGTGAAAAGACATCGTCCATCGTTAAACAGGGGTGGAGGCCTCCGGGTTCAATTGTCCCCCTCTTACAATGCTGTGATTGCTAGTATCACTCAGCCCTCTGTAAACAGTAAACAGCCATCAGTGTGCTAATGGTCCATTGTTAGGCTGATGGTCCTTCTTGAGCATGTGATCAGCCGGTTTTGGTTGTCAGCAGCAAAACTGGTTGATCCACTCTGAGAAGGTGCTATTTAAGAGACTGAGCTGAATACAGCTCCTCAGACTGAGGAAGTCTCTCGGATCAGAGACGAAACGTTTCTACATGTTTTTGTTGATTTGCTTTGTTTTGTTTTTTTGAATGTCCAGAGGACCAGATTTAACTTTTTTAGATTTTTCTACCTGGATTATTGAGCATGCATCAAGATATCAGCTCATACATCCTCGAAGAAGACCGAGCCAGTGGTAACCTCGCTCCACCGATGCCGCACGCTGCTTCCTGACCGCACCAGTGCCAACGCGCGCCCCCGCGGCATTCCTGGCTTAAGGCGTCCCATGAATGAGGACGCACACACATGACCCTTCAGGGCACATCGGCTCATATGTGCACCCGCTTCCCGAGAGTTACACGGGGCAGCTGCTCACAACGTGAGTACAACTCAGATGAGCTCGCGTGTTTCTTTTCTCTCACTCAGCGCGCTCCAGGTCACATCAGCATGTATGCGAGTTTCACAGCATAAATGCGTGCCCGCTTTACAGCTTATAAACGGGTGGCAATGAACGCGCGCTTCCAGACGGATGGGCGAACCATTTTCATCCGGGGATTCACGCTGCAGTTCAGTTCAAACCCCGGTGTGGAGGAACTCTGTGACGTTTTTTCTGTCATTTATGAACAGATCTCGTCCCCTCTAGCAGAAGCTCAGGAAATTCTGTTTTAAATGTAATTTCTAGAGTCTCAGAAGGAGAGGAAAACGCAAGGTCTCTCTCATCACTTCCTGGTCCCTATGAACTGGAAAGATGAGGTTTATTCTAGATTGCCAATTTCTGAGCTGTGAGAAACAACACTCCATTATGTGCCTGAGTC